GAACGACGAAAGGGCGGAAATATCCATGAATGGAAGCCTCTTTAATGGTACCCTCGGAATGATAGAGGAGATGCCTACATTTGCGAGATGCCAGGAGGTAAGATCACATTTCAACCATAAAGCATATAATGTGCTGAAACATTAGCAGTCTTGCACGTGTGTCATGAAAATTGCTCTTGCTTCTTAAAAAAGTAAAAAAAACATTGTTCACAGAATATACTCAGCCCACCTAACTTGTACGTGTGAGCGATGAATGAACTTTTAGGCGCGCATAAGTAGTTGAACACGCTGCCCGTGAAATTTTCGGTGTATGCTTGTTGTTTTGAACATAACACATCGAAGTACTTTTATTCTTGTGTGTCCGGGTGTGTGTTTCTTGTACAAGTCAGTGATCAATATGTTACTCACTGGCTGGAAGGTCTGTATTGGGTAACACTATGCCCAAAGTCTTGTGCACCGGTAGTTCAGATAAATGGCACAGTTTTTCCCAATACAGACCGACCTAGGCTGGTGAATAACAGTTTTTTTTCCCTTGAAATTAACGAAATGTTTTCCTTAAGAGCCCTAATGAGTTAGGGCTGTAAGTGCGGCAAGACCTTCCTTGATCTGAACAAATTTTGAGCAAGTATAAATGGTGGTTGAAACAGATTGAGGTAATGTAAATTAAAAAGAGGCCACACCGAAATATTTTTATTTGGGTAACGAAAAAGGTAATTTAAGAGGCCTCCAAACAAACTTTGAAACATTTTTTAACAAGTATCTGTCACAATTTGACACCTATCAATTAGAGAGCGCGGAAGAAAAAAGCGTATGCACCCTTTAAAACGAATCAACAACCACAACGGCGCTGGTTTGGCAAATAAACTGAACTGGGTAATAATTTTAAGTAAATTTAAATCTATGTTTTGAATTTGTGGGAGTTTTCTTGTGGAACTGGTCTTTCATGAAAAGGGGAATTTTAAAGCATCTTTTTCTCGTTGAATTCTTTTGTTTACTGTTGCAAAATTTCCGGTACCAATGTCCAGTTTGAACGGACTTGCAAAGACTTACCGAAAGCGTATTTGAAGTAAAGAAGACCTCGCTCACTGTTCTCCGAGGAACAAATTATTTGAGAGAATTCAGATGCATAATGAATAAAATTACCATTAATTAATTCAATTGCAAAGAAATACCTCACGTTTTAGCTTTCTGGGTTACTTCTAGTAAGGTTTAGGTTAATTACAAGCGGCTTTTAGGCCGCGCGTTAACTCATCTAATGACATATTTGCTTCCAATATTCATCCCAAAGCCAATTCTTTTTACAGGCAAACAAAGTGATCTAAGAGATAGAAACAAAGAATTAATGTTATCAATCGGCTTGATTTGCTCCACAACGATTTGCTTAAATATACTGTCCAGCCGGCAAAACGAAATAAATTTATGAAAAATGGCAACAAAGCTTGAGATGTAATCGGCGGCTCGCTCAAGCGATACCATGCCCGTGGGCAGAGATAGGAAAACCCGCACCGAATTACCAATAAGATTCCAGGATCCGTTACCGTGCCCTCTGAGAAAAACAAATAATAAATGCAGTTCTTTTGAGAAAGGTTATCGGAAAAAGCGTGTCAGAATTGTAAGCGATAACCTGAAAGGTATTGCTGGTAGCTTTTAAGTCATGGTTAGACTTGACCTCAGGAATTCAGGCAAATCTAGGAAATGTCACTTTAAGGAGGAGGCATCACGGGTTTGAACAACCTCTTTTAATTGCAAGACTGACTTTAAATTCTAAACTGCTCTAACCCTAATTAATTTATCTTTAATTTTCATGTCCCTATTGATTATCGTTCCCCAGATAATCTTTTGAGATTGTCGCGTGCACTTTAAAGTTTTGCTCTTTGCCCGTAACAACTGTATACGGTTAAATGCGTATCTCCAGTTGCAAATTTATGGGAACCTGCATTCACATTTAATTTTACGTTTTTTAAGTCTGATTAGATAGAGGAGGAAGAGTAGGGGGCGGAGTGGGAGAGGTGTCAGCTCAACGAAGAACTAATTAATATTCAAAAGCTCGACTACCAAAATTACATGAATTCACAAATAACCTTATAATCATAATCTTAGCTGAGGTGAAGTTAACTAATCCACAAAAGCAGGCCAGGGTGGCGGACGCCGTAGTGAAGAAAGATGTATAGTATTGATTGACACTGATCAAACAAATACATATGATGTAAAAAAAGAAAAAGGAATTAATTGGGGAATGAGTCCCGTTTTCTGTCTCATTCATTTTTTTCCTTTATTGTGATTGTGGTTATAATATTTTCATGTTATCAATGCTATTATAATCATCACTTTGTGTATCATGGCAGACATTTCGATCGACTTAGCAACCATTACTCTATAACGAGATTGGTAAGGATTACCTCAGTTCTCATATATCCTCAGAGGACGTAGATGCACTTTCTTGTCTAAAAGATAGTCAATTAAAAATTGGTTCATACGTCAGCGTGCGTTCATCGAGATATGAAGCACGCGGGAAGTTTGGAGAGCACGAAAGATACGTAAGAGTTGCTCGAGGCTACGCCTCGAGCAACTCTAGCTTCTTGAGTGGAAAATGTTTTTTCTCGAGGGATTTCCTTGCTGACGTCATGAGCGCGCACAATGGGAATATGAAGCACGCTCGCGCAATTGAATTTGATTACACAAATTTACTGGCTATGTTATAATACTGAGTTGGAATATAATTGATGTTCTGCGCACCTAAAAGATATACATAGGCATGCGTAGATAAGATGGGACACTTTGGATTCTTAACGCTTTCAGTCTTGAAACAGGAAAAGAGCAAAACTTTTCAAGCGACCAGAATTGTGTGGAGAATTCATTATCAGTAGCATCTAGTCCCATGTGATATTTTTTCAGTGGTGTTGGGTATTGCGCTTCGAATACGTGATAAAATGCAGGTTGTTTCCAAGGAAACGACACGTTGTAAAGTGAAGTCTAAAGAGCCAAAATGGAATTTGATTGGTGGAATATTATTCAAGTAAGAAAACGCGGAACAGGATATTGAAATATTGTGTAACAGCTTTTTCAGCTATGAGGGAAAAGTCTACAGAATATGTTTCATTCTGTAGTATTTTGGTGTGTAGTTTTCGAAAAACATCCTACAGCCCTATCTAAGCAATAATTACACAAGATGTCTGCCAAAGACGAATAAAATGCTAAAGAAACAATACGAGCTTTCTGTATAACTAATAAAAAATCGAGTGCGTTTAAGAGTTTTGAACTTTATTGGCGGACATTTTGTTACTCCCCTTTCCGCTCGCAGTTTTGCCCTCGCAGTGTAATAGTAAGGCAATTTTTTTTGTATGATGTGGTCTTGATTAACATTTTTCTTTCAAGATTCCTCAATATCTTCAGTAACTTCGTCGCCTTTACTATCACCCAGAATAGACCTTGCAACCTCACCATCACCATCGGCATCGTCGTCCCCGTCGCCGTCGCCACGACCATCGCCCTCGTCATCGCCATTCCCCTCGCCATCGCCATCGCCGTCGCCGTCGCCGTCGCCATCGCCATCGCCATCGCCATCGCCATCGCCATCACCAGTTGAACAGCTAGTATGTTCTCTAAATAGTCATTTACCGTTTTTATGCATGTCGTTTTTCAAGATCTCTTCTGTTTACAAACGTGAGAGACAATATTTTTAATTTTAGGCAAAGGAGTATGTATCAAAATTTGGCGGAATAAATATTACCAGAAGGACTTCCCTACAGGTATCTAATTCTATATGACTTAAAGGCTTTTTAACTTTGGTATATTTTTTTAAACGATAAAAAAGTAAATATCTGACCTTTAAGGATAAACCACCATTAAGCTATATGAGGTAAAAATGGTGAAGCTTAAAAAATAATCCAGGCCCCCAAAAGAGTTCTCTGGCCACTGAATACCCTGGACACCATTTGGATCCTTAGTATGAATTGTAAATACAGTATGAGACTGCCTGTTTAATGACCTGGAAATATTTTACGTAATTGTAGGAGGCTGTTGCTGTGTTTGAAGATTTCACCTTAAAAATCAAGAACGTCACAAAAGACAAGGCCGGCCTAGAAGAGGTTAAAACACTGAAAACATCCATCTTTGAGGTGGCAGAGGCCGTCGAGAAATTTGCTCTTAATTACGGCAACCGACACCTGAGAGAAATGAGGCTTTCAGAAAGGATCGTTTCCCCCAAAATGGGTGAGTTTGCGGCCTTCAATCCTGTTTAGTTTCAAAGTCTATTCCTCTGTTACTTACTAACTTGCTGACTGTCCCACTGAGTTGTCTAATTTCCTATGGCATGATGTAAGAACTCAGCTATTAACCCAACTTATCAGAAATGTTATTGTTGGATGTCATCGATTCATCTGTTTTTTTTCAATTTGTTTGATACTTTGATTTTTCGCGGTGGAGAAGGAAATTGAACGTTCTCTTAAACAATCAACAAGAGAGAATAGGAATCCTTCAAATTGTGAAACCATTCTTCTCGATCTGTTTATTGAAACTTTTCTTAAATAATAGATTGGTGAGTAACACTTTACTAACTAAAACTGTCAAATCTTAGAAATACTTTCCGCTTACTTAATACCGTACACTGAGCTCAAAATTGGCCAATCGTCTGCGATGCACATAAATGCAAGATTTTTAACCGTACTCGTAAAAATTTCCTAATGAACTCTATAGTTCTCTAACGAAACGGTTCGAGGAACGAATTGAGTTTTCAGAATTTTAGTCCGTGCAGTACTACGCACTTTTTCATCAGTTTTACATTGAAAAAACGTTGTAAAATGGTTGAATTCGTCGAATAGTCGTTGAAGGGCAAATAGGATACAAACAATACACTTCCATCCAATAAGATCATGAAATATTTGTGTACACCGCAAAACGCATGTTTGTGTAGGTGTTGCTATTGCAAATTTCACCGTAGGTGCTTTCATTTGTCATTTTTTCTCTCCGACAGTTTTGGTCATTCAAAAAGCCTATCACTTGAATGCAAGTGGCTTCGACTTTGAGGAACAACAATGGCGAGCGAGAATCGATATCGCTTCTTCAAATTTTGAGGAAAATGGTTCGTATTAACTACTGTGGTAACTTTACAACTTTTAGTATTACCTTGGTTTCTCCAATAGCAATTTCTTTATTGAAATAAAGGCGCTTCCTTAGGTTACATAGTCTATCTTCTTCAATCATTCGCCTTCCCTAAAATGTCACATACCTCAAAGCCTGATAAACTTTTCAATATTGTTCTTTTGTTGTTGTTTAAAAACATTTTTTGTTGATTCTTGGGGCGTTTAAAGGATCAATGGTAGTTGCGTTTTTGTACAAGGATCTGCATGACCTACTTCTGACAGATCAAGCCATAAGGAGTGAAACAGACAACCAAAGGTGACGTTATTTTCATATTACTCCATGTCGTTTACCTCTAAAAACACATAACACGGAAACACATAAGATCTAAGTTCAACTAAACTGAACTGACACACTTTCCAAAAACCCTAACTAGGGTTGGAAGACTCCCTGCTTGTCTCTGACCATTCCACCTTCATGAAAAATTGGCTAATTGAATCTACCAAAAATATGTAATATTGCTTCCGTGGTTCTGGTCCATTTTTAAATACAATTTCTTCATAGGTATATCAACTCCAGGATAATGGCCGTAACTATGGACCCCAAGCCAGAGAAATTGCGAGAAAATGTCATCCTAAACTTCAAAAACCTAAAGGTAACATGAAAATTAGCTGCTATGCGTTGTTTTGATTTATTCTGACAACATAAAATCTATTTTCAGGTCTTGACAGCAGAGAAGCGCTGTATGTTTTGGAGTAGCCGCAGCAAAAGGTAAAAAAACTACAATATATTATTGCATAGTATTTATTCCTTCTTAAATTAAATTGAGTATGTAGGACAATGAATGAACTTTCTCAGATGTTTTTGCGCAGATTAACACTTTCCTGGAAGCCAACATGTTGTCGTTTTTAGAGAATGGAAGTCTGATTGAAATGTTCTCGCAAATATAACTACAGTGGAAGAAAATCTTAGCGCAAAATTCTCAAACATCACCTTTTACCCAAACGATGAATAATTTTTTAACTTTACTCTTTTTTCATGTGACAGCTTTTCAAACATCACCTTTTACCCAAACGATGAATAATTTTTTAACTTTACTCTTTTTTCATGTGTGACAACTTTTCAGAGGAAGGTTGTCATGTAGTTACATCAAAAAGTAACTCAGAAGAAACAGTTTGCAGTTGCAATCATTTGACGCATTTTGCCGTCTTACTGGACTACGACGGTAGCACAAAGGTAATAAAGTTATTTTTGCCTTACTTAATAGTTTTATGGGCTCAATGAACTAACTCAATGTTGTCCTTCAATTTTTCTTTTCTTGACACAGCTCACTGAGGAGGACGAAAGAATTCTGAAAATTATCACCTACGTGGGACTGAGCCTTTCCATTATCGGGATACTTTTAACATTAATACTTTATTCTTGCCTCACGTAAGCAATGCACTCGATTAATAATGAGGTAGATTCTTAACTCCCCTCAACAAGGCTGGTGATAAAAGAGATCTCAATGCCAGTCTCCATGCAAACAAGAACAGTCATGTCGGATAATTCACAAACTCAAGCTACATTTCATGCCCCATCACGAACTTTTGAACAACTAATGGTTTCACTTTTTATGAATTTTTAGGCTTTAGACACATTTTCTTCGCAATATTTTTTTTTTTTGTCCTCTCTGGAGCTGTTTTACTGACTTTCTTCTTTCCTTTTCGCTGTCAAGATTTAGTTAATTTTTGCCATTTTTCCTGTGATTTGTTTTTGCCATTTTTTCCTGTGTGTTGTTGCTTTTGTGTCTCATTCATTCTTCTTGTTTTTAATATTATTTTACCAGAGATGTTCGTAAACCTCTCTCTCAAATTCGACTGAGTGTTTCTATTTCCCTTGGAGCTGGACAGATCATCTTCCTCGCTGGAATAAACGCCACAGGAAACAAAGTCAGTAGCCTCTCCTTCTATCCATAGAATGAGTTTACTCTTTGCACCGTAAATATCTTGTCGAAAGAAGCACGTTAAGAATTATACGAAAACTCGTCCTTTCCACAGGCTGCCTGTGTTACAATAGCAGCTCTGATGCAGTATTTCTTTATGGCCGCTTTCTGTTGGATGCTGATCGAGGGAATTTATCTCTACTTCTTCGTCGTGAAAGTTTACAACATTAACACCAAAATGTACATGTATCACGTCATCTCGTGGGGTAAGTTTATTATTTTAAAACATGCACTGGTAACTGTAACCATGCTTTCGGATCGCCAAATCTGGTGTTTTCATGCAGTAAAATGTTTTGATTTTCTTTCTTTCTTTATGGGTAGGTCTTCCAGTGATCATGGTGGCCATTTCACTTGGCATCGCTGCTGGAAAAGAAGGGTTACAAAGCTATACGAGTGATAAATAGTAAGAAAAAAATTCAAGGGTTTCTTCTTGCTCTTCTCCTTTTAATTTGTTGCATTTAATTCTTTGTTTTGTTTTTGGATATAGTTTGAAATAGGTATCATTTTATTTTCTGACAATTTGTGTTTCTTTCTTGTGTTTCACTTCCTCGAGTTTAGTTGCTGGCTTTCCTCAACTAACAACCTGATCTGGATATTCGTCGCCTTTGTGGCTTTTATTGAAGTTGTGAGTTAATGATTAGTGTTGGTGATTGTGATCGATTTACCTGGACTAATTGCTGCTAAAGATTTTTTCCTCTGCTCTTTAAAACGAATTAAATATTTATGATATGACCCAAGACAATATATATCATTTTCTTTTCCCTATTTACTCACAAAAAGCTTTGAACGTAGCCGCTGTTTGCGGGGATGCTGGTCAATTTTAACCTACTGATGGTCTTCAATAGCGAGAAAAACCTGTGGAGACAATGTCCTCATAGGCATAAGATAGCTTCATAAATTCTCCAACTTTTACTACACAGTATGAAAAAAAAACTTCTCCCCCTTCCTTCAACACAAAAATAACTCATGAAAAAAAAAAAAAAATAACAAAAAAAAAAAAATTAAAAATGTGAAAGGAGCAGGAAGAGTAGGATATATTTATGTAATTTCTATAATTTAACATAAGGCTTTACTTGGCGTGGTTCTTTCAGTTTAGACACTTTTGTGCGCGATTTCTTTTGCTCATTGGCAGAGGATCGAAGCTTCTAATCTTGGTCCCCTAGTTGGGGGATCTATTCCCTGTAAATTACTCTTCATCCCACGCTTGTTACCGAATTAATAACTTCCTTGGCAAAGATCCTCCCCTGCTTTGGCTATTCGACATCCATATCTAAATAATCACCTTTTTTTGTATACTTTAGCTCAACATTTTGATACTCCTACGTGTAATAAGGGAGATGACCAATCTGTTGCAGCCAACAGGGGCAGACCACCATTTTCAGCAAATACGGTGAGAATCACATCATAAAACTAAAACCAAATAGTGGAAGACATTGCCATGCCCCCCTGTGGAGCTGTATTTGCCTAGCCCCCTTATTCCGTAATCAGTAAGGCATCACAATTTTTAACAATGAAAATTCATTGTCAGAGGAAAGTAAAAGAATGTTTTTTTTCTAACTCCTAGTCTAGGCATCAAAACATGCGTGGTGATGATTCCCCAGCTGGGTGTCACGTGGCTATTCGGTCTCCTCTCGCCTGTACATAAAGCTTTCGCTTACATCTTCACCATACTTAACTCTACTCAGGTCAGTATTCGATGGTAACTGTAAAAAGACATTAATCTCTTTCTGACCAAGTGAGACACCATTAGGATGGTCAGATTACATTTCTTTGGAATTTTTAAGACAAATAGTTGTCAACTATGCAAGAGAAGGCAGACTTCTTTTACAATTAAAAGATGTGAAATTTTCCTTCCTTCTTGGAAATCTTAATAGATATTTTACTAATTTATTTGCATATTGTAGAAATTAATGATCTTGAAATCATTTTTATGCTGCAGGGTTTCCTGACTTTCGCTCTACACTGTATGCGAAACACTCAGGTAAGAAAAAACATTGAACTGATTATTAACTTTATATCATCAAGTTTTAGTGTTTCAATAAATATTCGAGTGCTAAGAACCATATTTCGTGTTGCTCGTCTATCTGCAGATCAGAGAGCGATTCAAAAGAAAGATGAACATCGTTTTTCCATCTTCTATAAAGGACAACTCCTCAAGGAAGAGCCCACAGGTCAATCCAAATGAGTTTGAGAGAAATGTATGGGCAATTTAATTGCAGTCATGTGCTGAATTTGAATCGAAATTGTACTTAAGTTAAATAACTTGATTAAGCCAATCGGAAATAACAACCAAATACTTAGAACAATCACTTAGTTAACAGCAATAAGTCGCTTACGATCGGTCTGAGTTACGATCTGCAGGTAAAAAGAGGTCTGTGTCTGCATTATTGTTTAAGCATTCAACTTGATGTCTTTGTAACCTATCATTTTTATGATAATAAGTTTATTTTCTAGGCGATCGTATATTTGCAGGCAAGAATCATCGAAATAAACCAATCTATAAATTTAAATTCCTAATGGCTCCGTATGCTGATGACTGCTTTGTTTCACTTACTTAGTTTATAAACTTCTTATCAAACACTGTTATTACTTTTAACTATAAGCTATGGATAGTCACTGAAATTATCAGTTTCTAGAAATTTCTAGAAGACATAGTCATGTTGACATGCACACGAAGGAACTTTCTGCAAATTTTTATTAGGTTGCGTAGCTATGGTGTAACACCACCAAAATGGTTTTTGTAAGCTTTTGGAATTATCTGGAACGCTTTGTACAAAAGGACTCAATCGTGCAGCAGTAGTAGTTGTTGTTGTCGGGAGTGACTGATTTTTCAGAGAGTTCTAACGAAAGAGAGCTACTGTGGAAGATTGTTAATTTCGAGGAACTTGGGAGACAACTGTGAGATTGTGTCAGTGGTGAGCTAAGATGTAATTTGTAGTGGGCTTAAATAAGTTTATTTAGCATAAAAGTGTACTTCCTTTAAGAGTCGCTCCTTAGTAAGAATATTAAAGTTGTTTAATAGTGTTCTTTCTGTTGGTTAAATTGTACCGTAACAAAAAAATACCCATAGTAGTAGCAGCTAAAGTTGACGTTCAACCGACATTACACTCAAAAAAATGCCCATAGTAGTAGCAGCTAAAGTTGACGTTCACCGACATTACACTTTCAAATAAACAAATAACTTTTAACGACATCCCCCGTTTAACTCACCGAACCGATTTCCCGAGACACAGACTACACCTTTTCATTATTATTCTAATTATTCTAATTATTCTAATTATTCTAATTATTCTAATTATTCTAATTATTCTAATTATTCTAATTATTCTAATTATTCTAATTATTCTAATTATTCTAATTATTCTAATTATTCTAATTATTCTAATTATTCTAATTATTCTAATTATTCTAATTATTCTAATTATTCTAATTATTCTAATTATTCTAATTATTCTAATTATTCTAATTATTCTAATTATTCTAATTATTCTAATTATTCTAATTATTCTAATTATTCTAATTATTAATTATTCTAATTATTCTAATTATTCTAATTATTAATTATTCTAATTATTCTAAAATCTAATTATTCAATTATTCTAATTTAATTCTAATTATTCTAATTATTCTCATTATTCTCATTATTCTCATTATTCTAATTATTCATTATTCTAATTATTCTCATTATTCTCATTATTCTAATTATTCTAATTATTCTAATTATTCTAATTATTCTAATTATTCTAATTATTCTAATTATTCTAATTATTCTAATTATTCTAATTATTCTAATTATTCTAATTATTCATTTACCCTTGAAAATGTTTCGACAAGAAACCAAACATGCAGGAATTTAAAGAAGCTCATCCCTAACTCACAGATTTTCCCGCCAAGCCTTTTTTTCCTAATTTAACCAGCCAATTTAAACAGACACACTAAATCAAAGCCCAAAATCTTATCTTTTCTTTCTACCTACACTGTCTCTAAATTTACTTTGTAGTGTTCGTAGAAGGTAATTCTAATTCTAAGAAAACCTTCATTTAGCGGAGCTGATAAAGAAATAACCATTCTTAACATCAATTATTTTTGAGCTGCTTCTTTATAAAATTGGAATTATAAAGAGTATTTTAATTCCGTGAAGTTTTCCGATTAAATTAAGAAAAACAATGCTTCACATCTGGTGCAAGCTGCCTTTTATCTATTGCTGCGTCTTTGACGGGAAAAAAAATGGAGACAAACGTCAGGAACAAGCTCTCAGAGATCATAATTTGCATTAAACTCTGTCTCGTGCAAAAGGGTTTTATAAGATGCCGTATATCCGCAACTCTCAAGCTGGGAGAATCAAATATTAGTGTAACGATACCTTTTAACAGCAACCTTTGCATATCTTGGCCATGATGAAGTGGATGATGAATAGACCTGAGTCCGGAAAAATTTTCAAAACTCTATTAACATGTTGTGTGCTGGGTAAGTACGACGCTAGTTATTCCTGTTTGTTGTGCGGTAGCTATCAAATTGCGTGATGAGTACAACTGAATCCCACAAAGAGAGCAAAACCTTTTTTAAAAGTTGTGCAATAGTATAGTAACCACCTAATTATATGTTGATTTTCCTTTTGCAAAACATTTATATCGATTTTTGAACGTCCTGTGAAGTTTGGCCGAAAGAAAATGTCAGTTGGCGGATATTGGTACTGTTGATTAAAACAAAACAAACCAGATTCTAAAGGTGCATTAAACTCTTAGTTCGTAATCGGAGAAGGATCTCTTACAAATTGGATTCCTGAAGCCTTTTAGATTTCATATAGTGCAAAGCAATTTAAGATCAAAAAGCACAGGCGAGACATTCATGCTGTGGTCATGTTGTTTGCGTCATAGTTGTCTGCACAACAGCTTTAGCAGCCATATTTAGGATAACAGGAACACGATAACTTAGTTGCTATCGTTTTATACCACTATGACACGATGTGAAAAGGAAAAAACGTGTCGACTTCAGATAGTTGCTGAACGTTGAACGTGCTTAGACAAGAGATCGAACTTAATCATCAGGGTCCACTTAAACTGGCGTTAGATGCAAAGTTTAACATTCGATCCGGTATTTGGAAAAAAATGGTTCAATTGCTGTACTTTTTCCTTTCTTATCGCAAATTAAAACACCATTAATATCCATGAATTTCGATAGCTGCTTTTCTGAATGAGCTGAGGGGTTAAAGTGACGTGCACTCAGAGTCAAATAATTCAAACAACCCTTGAAATTGATTATTTTTACGAATTAAAATTCAGTAATTGAACTCCTTACAGCCGCATGGAGATTCTTTCTTAATTTAAGTATAGCTCAAATAATAAATAAATTATTAGTCATGTTTAATGGATCACCCCGAAATGATACGATGGTGTTCCTCATTCCAGGGTCATGTTCAATGAATTCCAGCCTAAAGCTTTTCTGAGAGCCTTTGGATGAGGCACTATTCAGATGCCCAAACTGTTAGAGCTTTCAAATTGTTGTTCAGTCATTAACACTCGGAGTAGATGATTGCCAAATGCTCGCCGAGTTGGACGTCATGGACAATTAAAACGTACTTCTCTTTTAAATTATTCTCCTTTGTAAAGCAAACTTTATACTTATCTCATTGCTCTTCTTTTATAAAAAAATATATGGTGGAGGTTCCGCGGTCTGCTGATCCATAGTTTAGTAACTCCCAAGAATATGGAAAAATCCTCACTAAATTTTGGAGACCAGCCCCTCAAGATTGAAATTGAGCAGAATTTTTATTTGAGCGGTCAGAATCGATACCTGATTAATTCGCTTAATAAAGCATCGTCCGTTTCGAATTGTTGCGAGCTAAAACAAGGCTTTTTTTTTTTTAATAGCGCACCTTTTCAATGTTATATAGTTTGGTTGCACTCCGAATAGCCCGTGTAAAAAAGTTTTTCGAAGGACATTCACGAAGGTCAACCGTATACTTAAAAATGTTTTCTACATGTAAAAAGTTTTGTTCAGCTGGTTGATAAATTGTGGAGATGCTGCATTTTTTAAAATTTATCCGTCTACACCCTTGGGAAGGTAATGAAAGTCATGGGTAGATGCCAAAGGGTATGTAACAAATAATCTGCATTAGTACTAGTCTAACTCGAGATCTAATACACTCTTTCATTGTTTCAAATGTTATTCTTGAGATAATAATCAATTCATTTGCTCGTTTTCTCTTCTGCAGCCATCTTTCATTTGTTGGTGGATTTGCCCGGAACAGGTGAGGCAGTTTAATTCCAATTTTATTATTTATGTATCTTAAAGTGAACGGGAAAAAAATGATAATATCTGACTGACTATCACAATAATTGGTCATAAACTTCCTACAGTCATCCTTCATTTGTTGATGGAGATGCCAGGAACGGGTCAGGCAGTGTAATTCTGATTTTAACATTTATGCACCTTAAAATGAACTGAAGATGAAAAAAGATAATATCTGATTGATTATCATAATAATTAAAAAAATGTGCGGTGAACATAAGAAACTGACCATCCTGCATCTAATTCGAATATTGCGAGCACTTCGATCGACCTAGCAACAACTATTCTGCACCGAGGTTAGTAAGGGTTGCCTCAGTTCTCATAATTATGTTACCACGGGGCGTAGATACATTCTTTTGTTTTAAAAATAGTCAAAACTGAGTTGGAGTTTAATTGATATTCTGCTCACCGAAAAGATAAACATAGACATGCGAAGCATGCAAGAACTATTATTTTGGTTAGGAGGGTTGAGATGGGACACTTGGTGTTCCTAACGCTTTCAGTTTTATAACGGAAAAAAGCATAACTTTTAAAATAGCGAAAATATCGCATTACTTCACCTAAAAAGAAAGAAAACAAAACCTAAATTATCTGAACTTATACTATTTGTGGTCTATTGTCTCTGTTGTCTAAAAACCCTCTAAGGAAAAATATAATGCATCGGTGCCACGCTTATCGTTGTTGTTTGGTCTCGTCACACAAATAACGGTCGAGAAAGAGACAACGTTTACTGCTGTTCCTAAGACAGCAAGAAGATCAACATTATTCGTCTACAGTTAGTTACCTCAAAAAAGAATCCTCGTTTTACCGCCAAAAGCGAAACGAAACTCTGTAATATTTCCAATAGGCCCTAGCCAAAGATAGATTGCGATCTCGAATAAGTGAAGATATATTGAATAGGAGATGAGGAAAGTATTTTAAAGACGGCTCCTTGGTTCGTTGTTGCCTATCTGGACTTTGCCACCTAAATTAAAATGCGATGGAATTAAGCCCAAAGTAGCTAAAAGCGACTTTTATTCTCACGAAAAGTCATAACGTGGGAGAATTACGTACATAATTCACTATCAGTAGCATTCAGTTTCATGTGAATTTTTTGGTATTGGATAATGCGGTTCGAATAAGTGATAAAATGCAAGTTGTTTACGAGGAAATAACTCGTGATGGAGAAAAGTCTAATGAGGCATAATGGAATTTGATCGGTGGAATACAATTCAAACAACAGAATACAGAACAAGCTGTTAAAATATTGTCTTTCAGCTACTAGGGAAAACTCTTCAGAAGATATTTCATTCTCTACTCATTTGGCGTCTAGTGTCCAAAAAAATCCCCAAACTTTATCGGAACATCAATCACAGAAGACGTGTGCGAACGACTTAGATAATACAAAGGAAACAAGAAAAGTGCTCTGTTTAACCAACAAAACATCGAGTGCATTTGAGAGATTTCATCGTTCTCAGCAGCCGTTTTGTTGGTATGCTTTCTGCCTGCATTTTTGCTCTCACAGTGTAAAATTAAGGCAATTTTGGTTCATGATATGGTCTTAGGCTTTATTTTTCTTTAAAGATTCATCAATATCTGCATCACCCTTACCATCGTCGTCACCGTCCCCCTCACCATCACTGTCGCTATCGCTATTGCCGTTACCATCACCTACGCCATTGCAATCGCTGTCACCATCGCTCATGCCATCGCCATCGCCATCGCCATCGCTATCACCATCACACTCGCCATCCCCCTCGCCATCGCAATCACCCTCGCCATCGCCCTCGCCATCGCCCTCGCCATCGCCCTCGCCATCGCCCTCGCCATCGCCCTCGCCATCGCCCTCGCCATCGCCCTCGCCATCGCCCTCGCCATCGCCCTCGCCATCGCCCTCGCCCTCGCCCTCGCCATCGCCCTCGCCATCGCCCTCGCCATCGCCATCGCCATCGCCCCCGCCATCACCATTGCCATCGCCCTCGCCAACGCCATGGCCACCGCCATCGCCATTGCCCTCTGCCTCGTTCTCGTTCTCGCTCTCTCCATTGCAATTGTATTCGTTGTCGCCATCCACGTCGCTATCGCCATCACCATTGTCATCACCATCGCCCTCACCATCGCCATCGCTCTCGCCCTCGCCCTCGCCCTCGCCCTCGCCCTTGCCCTCGCCATTGTTATCCACACTGCCATCGCCATCGCCATCGCCATCGCCATCGCCATCGCCATCGCCATCGCCATCGCCATCGCCATCGCCATCGCCATCGCCATCGCCATCGCCATCGCCATCGCCATCGCCATCGCCATCGCCATCGCCATCGCCATCGCCATCGCCATCGCCATCGCCATCGCCATCGCCATCGCCATCGCCATCGCCATCGCCATCGCCATCGCCATCGCCCTCGCCCTCGCCCTCGCCCTCGCCCTCGCCCTCGCCCTCGCCCTCGCCCTCGCCCTCGCCCTCGCCCTCGCCCTCGCCCTCGCCCTCGCCCTCGCCCTCGCCCCCCCTCGCCCTCGCCCTCGCCCTCGCCCTCGCCCTCGCCCTCGCCCTCCCCCTCGCCCTCGCCCTCGCCCTCGCCCTCGCCCTCGCCCTCGTCCTCGCCCTCCGTCGTCCTCGTCGCCGTCGCCGTCGCCATCGACATTCGCCCTCGTCGCCGTCGTCCTCGTCGCCGTCGCCGTCGCCATCGCCATTGCCATCGACATTGACGTTGCCATCGCCATCGCCGTCGCCATCGACATTGCCATCGACATTGACATTGCCATCGCCGTCGCCGTCGCCATCGACATTGCCATCGACAATGAAAGAAACAATGAAGAAACAGTTTGCAGCTGCAATCATTTGACGCATTTTGCCGTCTTAATGAACTACGACGGTAGCACAAAGGTAATCAAAAGCCAAAATAATTTAACTAACATTTAACTAACTCAATGTTCTTATTTAAATTTTTTCTTTTTGACACAGCTCGCCGAAGAGGACGAAACAGCTCTGAAAATTATCACCCACGTCGGACTAAGCCTTTCCATCGTCGGGATCCTTTTAACATTAATACTTTATTCTTGCCTCACGTAAGTAATGTACCTGAATATCAGTGAGGTAGATTCTTGACTTCCCTCAACTATGCTAGAGAGAAAAGAGATCTCAGTGCAAATCTCCATGCCAATAAAAACACGCATGTCGGGTAACTCAAAAATTCAAATTACATTCCATGCCCCATAAAGAACGCTTGAACAACTCATAGTTTCATTGTTTATGAATTGCTTAGGGTTTAGTCATTTCCCTCGTGATACTTTCTTTTTTGTACTTTCTGGAGCTATTTACTGAGTTTTTTTCTTTCAGTTGCTGTCAGAATTTTACTTGATTTCTTTGCCCATATTTTACTGTACATTTTAATTCATTCAATTCTCTTCTTTATTGTGCTTAGTGTCTTTAGTGTATTGTTGTTATTGTTGTTGTTACTTTTCTCTAATTCATTCTTTTTATTTTTACTATTATTACTATTTTTTTTTTACTATTTCATCAGAGATGTTGGTCAACCTCTCTCTCAAATTCGAATGAGTGTTTCTATGTCCCTTGGAGCTGGACAGATCATCTTCCTCGCCGGAATAAACGCCACAGAAAACAAAGTTAGTGGCCCCTTTTTCTATCCATGGAATGAATTTCCCCGTTGCACCGTAAATATCTTGTCGAAAGGAGCGTGATAAGAATACGAAAACTCTTTCTTTCCACAGGCTGTCTGTGTTACAATAGCAGCTCTGATGCAGTATTTCTTGATGGCCGCTTTCTGTTGGATGCTGATTGAGGGAATTTATCTCTACTTCTTCGTTGTGAAAGTTTACAACATTAACACCAAGATGTACATATATCACGTCACCTCATGGGGTGAGTTTATTATTTTTAAGCACTGGTAACTGTAACCATGCTTTCGGACCGCCAAATCTGGTGTTGTCATGCAGTAAAATGTTTTGATTTCCTTCCTTTCTCTATGGGTAGGTCTTCCAGTGATCATGGTGGCCATGTCACTTGGCATCGCTGCTGGAAAAGAAGGGTTACAAAGCTACACGAGTGATCAATAGTAAGAAAAAACTTCGACGATTTCTTCTTGCTCTTCTCCTTCTAATTCGTTGCATTTAATTCTTTGTTTTGTTTTTTCATATATTTTGAGACAGGTATCATTTCATTTTCTGACAATTTGTGTTTCTTTCGTGTCTCTCACCTCTTCGAGTTTAGTTGCTGGCTTTCCTCGTCTGACAACCTGATCTGGATATTCGTCGCTTTTGTGGCTTTCATTGAAGTTGTGAGTTTATGATTAGTGCTGGTGATTGTGATTGGTATTCCTGGACTACTTGCTGCTAAAGATTTTTTTCTCTGATCTTTAAAAAAAGAATTAAATATGTATGATATGACCTCACACATCATTTACTATTTTCCTTTTCCTATTTACTCACAAAAAAATTTGGACGCAGCTGCTTTTTACAGGGATGCTGGTCAATTTTGACTAAGTGATGGCCTTTAATAGCGAGTAAAGCCTGTTGGTACAAAGTCTACACGGGAAATAGATAGCTTCATACATTCTCCAACTTTAACTACATAGTATGAGGAAAAAGATTCTTCCCTTTCCTTGTTGAAGTTTTCTCACTGTTTCACACTGATATACCAAGATATGTTTTTTGCGCAAAAGTAACTCTTAAAAAACATTGAACAAGATGAAAGGAGCAGGAAGTTTAGGAGATATTAAATTTATGTGATTTAACATGAGGATTCACTTTGCATAGTTCATTTAGTTCAGACACTTTAGTTCGCGATTTCTTTTGCTCGAAGTCAGGGAATCGAAGCTCATAATCTAGGTCCCACAGTTGGGAGTTCTATTCCCTGTAAATGACTCTTCATCCCCAGCTAGTTACCAAACTAATAACGTCTTTAGCAAGGATCCTTTCTACTTTGGCTATTCGACAACCATATCCTAATAATCAATTTATTTTTATTGTATTTTTCAGCTCAATATCTTGATACTCGTACGAGTCATAAAGGAGATGAGCAATTTGTCGCAGCCAACTGGGGAAGAGTATCATTCTCAGCAAATACGGTAATATTCACAACCTAAACCTAAAACAAAAGAGTGGAAGAAGCTACCATGTCCTCCTGTGAGGCTATATTCGCCTAACTTCCTCATTCCTTAATCAGTAAGGCCATACGATATCTAAAAATGAAAATTCATTGTCAAAGGAAAATAAAGGAATTTTCTCTTTTTCACTCCTAGAATTAGCATCAAAGCATGCGTGGTAATGATTCCCCTCCTGGGTGTCACATGGGTATTCGGTCTCCTTTCGCCTGTACATAAAGCTTTCGCTCACATCTTCACCGTACTTAACTCTGCTCAGGTCAGTATTCGATGGTAATACTCAAAATTATTCAATCTCTATCTTTATTTTACTTTCTAACCAAGTGGGACACCATTGCAGTGATCACATTTTTTTTTAAATTTTAATTTGAAAACAAAAATGCAGTTAAGTATGCAAGAGAAGACAGACTTCTTTTTCCATTATAAGATATGCAATTTTCTTTCTTTCTTGGAAATCTTAATAGGTATTTGACTGATTTGTTTGTATACTATAAAAATCAATGATCTTGAAATCATTTTTATGCTGCAGGGTTTCCTGATTTTCGCTCTACACTGCATGCGAAACAGTCAGGTAAGTAAAACATTAAACTGATTATCAACTCCATATCATCAAGTTTTATTGTTTCGATAAATATCCGAGTACTAGTGCTAAGAACCATATTTCATGTTGCTTGTCTATCTGCAGATCAGAGAGGGATTCAAAGGAAAGATGAATATCGTTTTTCCATCTTCTATAAAGAACAACTCCACAAGTAAGAGCTCACAGGTCAATCCAAGTGAGGTTGGGGATGTATGGGCAGCTGAAATGCAGTCTTGTGCTGAGTTTGAATTGAAATCGCATGTAACTTAAATAATTGGATCCAGCCAACCGGAAATGACAGTCAATTACTTAGTACAATCACTAAGTTAACAGCAATAAGTAGGCTACGATCGGTCTGACTTGCGATCAGCAGCTAAAAAGAGGTCTTTCTTTTTATTATTGTTTAAGCACTCAACCAGTTCAGTGTAATTGTAACCTATCTTCTTTATGATTATAAGCTTATTTTCTAAGCGATCTTATATTTGTAGGCAAGATTCATCGAAGTAAATCAATCCATAAATTCAAATTTCTAATAGCTCAGTATCTTGATGACTTTCCTTCGAATAAGACCACAGTCTACTACAGATGAGGCGGGAATTCATGTCAAGATATCACGAATTGTCTTTCTTTAAGAAGCACTTTAGCACGCACCTTTTATTGAACGTATTTATCTTTTGATTCTTACGCGCCAACTTTCTGCGCTTACCGCATGATTATTTCATATTCGACGTTTCACTTATTGAGTTTACAAACTTCTCACTAAACGCTGTTATTACTTTTAACAATGAGCTATATGGATAATAACTTAAAGTATAAGTTTCTAAAAATTTAGAGAATGCCTAGTCATGCTGAAATGCATACCAAGGAACTTTCTGAAGCATTTTACTAGGTTACTTAGTTATGATATAACACTACCAGTATGGTTGTGTTGTAAGTGTCCGGAATTTCCAAGAATACTTTGTACATAAGGACTCAGTTGTGCAGCAGTAATGTTGTTGTCGGGAGTGACTAACTTAAGTTTCAGAAGGCTATACCGAGAGAGAGGTACTGTGGAAAATTGTTAATTTTGAGGCACTTTGGAGACAACTGTGAGATTGTGTCAGTGGTGAGCTAAGAAATAGTTTATGGTGGGCTTCAATCAGTTTATTTAAGAATAATTATTCTACTTCCTTTTACAGTCGGTCATTGATAAAAATATTACAAGTTGTTTAATAAAGTAGTTACGTTTGTTAATAAATGATGCTCTTTCTGTCTGTTAAATTGTACCGTAACAAGTAATACTAATAGTCTTACCAGCTAGCGCTGACATTCAAAGTTGTTGTGTAATGAATAAGTAGATGAATACGTAAATGTTTGAATAAATAAACAACCAATTTAAAAGGAACAGAAAAAAAACTCCTTATGACTGGATCTTTTGTGGATCAGTTTCATTTACCCATTTTTTTTTCGCATTCTAAGAAAAGGAGTATCGTTTTGAATCGAAAATACATCGAATAATTTGGAATTAAATTGGGGCAATGTTAAGCGGAAATAACAAACCAAGAGATTATAAACTATTTGGCACACATCATTAAACAACGATTAAAGAACAGAGTATACAATTGAAAGGAAAAAGCTTGGCGATAGAAATGCCGAATATTTCCACTGGCCTGGTTTCCAAATATCACTACAGCGGAGACGTAGCATGGAAGAGAAATTTCAACAAGCCAGAGAAGGAGTCGATTATATAAATGTGCCTAACAATTTACAACAGTCGAGGTTATGTCACACCCATTTATAAACAAACATGAATGACGAAGCATACGATTAAGACGGAAGAGTAAAAAAAAAGAATTATTCTAGAATATACAAGCACCTTTCTCCCTACACCGCTCAAATGCGATAGGTCAAAACGCTTTAAGCTTCGATTGACTAAATAGATCGCAGCTAGGACTAGGGAATTTTCCAGAATAAATTATCGATTATTCCATGAGCGCAGAGACATTCTGAGAGAGTAAAATGTCGGAGTTTGCCGCGCTATGAAAGTAATAATACTCGCTAATTAACACATGAGCGAATTAGTCCATCAAAGTTGAAGGCATACGAAGTAATTAGACCCACCAACTGAAACGCTAAGCATGTCATCGGCGAGATGAATGAATAATAATCATTTTCATTGGCAGAGCTCATTAAGACATAATAGTTCTGAACATCAATTATTTTTGAGCTGCTTCTTTACAAAACTTCAGCTACAAAAAGTGTTTAATGCCGTGAGGTTTTTCGATTGTATTAAGAAAAACAATGGTCCACATCTGGTGCAAGTTGCCTTTTGTCTATTGTTCCGTCTATGACAGAAAAGTAAAAATGTAGACTAACGCCATGAATATGCGATCACAGACCATGATTTGCATTAAACTCAAACTAGTACCAAAGCGTTTTACGAGGATGCCGCAAATCCAAAACTCTCAGGTGAGATGAATCAAATTTTAGTGTAACTACAGCTCTTAACAGCAACCTTTACATATCTTGGGCATTATGAAGTGGATGACAAATGGAACTAAATCCCGAAAATTTTTCAAAACCTTTCTAATGTGTTGTATGCTGGGTAAGTACGACGCTAGTTATCCCTGTTTTTTCTGCTGTAGCTACGAAACCGTCGAAACTGACTTTCCAATTTGTGAAATATTTATTTTCATTTTAAACCTTCGGAGCTCTAATAACGAAACATACCAAACTCTACAAATCTCCTTTCTAAACTATTTTTTAATCATCATAGTAAAACTTTGGGATCTTTGTATTATCATTATTATCGTTGTTATTAATTTCTCAATTTTTTTTTCACTTTCCGCCCAATGCCAAATGATTGAAAAAGAAATAGCCAGAATGAAACATCCGTGTAAGTGTAAAGACAGCTTACTGACAGCAACCTATAATAGTTTCGTGTCCTTGATGAATTGTTCGATGAGTACAACTGAATTTTATAAGTTGTGCACTAGATGAGTAAGTCTTTATACAGGCCAAGTGGCCTATGGGCCCGGCGCTTAACTCCGGTTTCATTAGCATGAAGCGGCTAGGAGTATTACTACTCCCCCCGGGATGGGATGCTAGTCCATCGCAGTGTTACCCCAAGCACATTTGCTGGTACCCATTTGTACACCTGGGTGAAGAGAAGCACTGTGAGAGTAAAGTGTCCTGCCTAAGAACACAACACAATGACCCTGGCCAGGGCTTGAACTCGGACCACTCGATCCGGAGTCGAGCGCACTAACCATGAAGCCACCGCGCCTCCCACTAACCTATAATAGTAACCTATAATAGTTTCATGCGCTTGATGAATTGTGTGATGAGTACAATTTAATTTTATAAGTTGTGCGCTAGGTAAGTACCACCTTAATTATATCTTGACTATCCATTTGCAAAACATTTATATCGATTTTGGAACGTCTTGTGAAACTCAGCCAAACTAATCTGAGAAAAAATGTCAGGTGGCGGTTATTTGGCACTCTTAATTAAAACAAAACAAGCCAGCCTGTAAAGATGTGCGCAATAAACTCTAAGTTATTAATTAGAGAAGGATCTCTCGTAAATTGGATTCCTGAAGCCTTTTAGATTCCATATAGTGCAAAGAAATCAAAGATCAAATAGCACAAGACAGACATTCATGTTGTTCGCGTCGTGGTTGTCTGCACAACAGCTTCTGCAGCTATATTTAAGATAACAGGAACAGATAGCTTAGTTTCTATCGTTTTATGTCACTGTGACAAGATGTGAAAAGGGAAACGCGTCTCCTCTTTTTATGCGTCAGATAGCTGCTAAACGTTTGACGAGCTTAGACAAGCGATCGAACTTACTTACCCAACAGGGTCCACTTAAATTAGCATTAGGTTAGACAGATACATACTTTAACTTTCGATCCGGGGTTTGGAAAAAAATTGATTGGGTTGGTGTACTTTTTCCTTACTCGTAATAAGTTAAAACACCATTACTATTCGTGAATTTCGATGGCTGATTTTAAGAATGCGCTGAGGGGTTAAAGTGAAGTGCACTCACAGAAAAAATAATTAAAACAACTCTAAAAATTATTTACGTATACGTACAATATTTACGTATTAAAATTCAGTTATGGAATTCCTTACAGCCACTCGGAGATTCTATTTTGATTTATGCTTAATTAAATTAAAAATTATAAGATTGGGTTTTTAATAAAGCCCTCTTTCCAGTCATGTTTAATGGTTCACCCCGAAATTCTACGAGGATCACGGATCATGTTACTTTACACCTCGTGTTCCTCATTCCAGGGTCATTTACAACGAATTCCAACTTTTAGGTTCACTGGGAGCCTTCGGATGAGTCGTTATTCAAATATCGCGGTACCCAAACCGTTAGAGCTTTCGAATTATTGTTCAGTTATTAACACTCAGAGTAGATGACTGCTAACTGCTCGCCAAGTTGGACGTCATTGAAAACTAATACATATGTATTTCTTTCAAATTTTTCTTCTTTGTACCCGAAAGCAAACTTATACTTATCTCAATGCTCTTCTTTTAGCAAAACAAAAACAACAAAAAACAACAAAAAACAAAATATGTGGGTTCCGCAGGTTCCACGGTCTGCTGATCCACAATTTAGTAACACCCAAGAATATGGAAAAATCCTCACAGATTTTGGAAACCAACCCATCAAGATTCAAATTGTGCGGAAGTTTTTATTCAAGCGGTCAGAATTGATACGCGATTCATTTGGTTAAAGAAACAGCCGTCGTCCGTTTTGAATTGTTTTGAGCTAAAACGAAACACTATTTTTTCTGGATAGTGCATTTTACATCGTTTCATTGTTTTATGACCTAGCTGCACTCTGAATAGCCCGTTTAAAGAATTTTCCGATGGACATTCCCGAAGGTCTACCGTATCCTTAAAAACATTTTACACAAGTTTTGTTCAGCTGGTTGGTAAATTGCGGAGATGCGGCATTTTTTAAGATTTCTTCGTCTGCTCCCTAGGGAAGGTAGTAAAAGTCATGGGTAGATGTTAAAGGGTATGTGGCAAATAAAATGCATTAGCACCGTCTAACTCGAAATCTAATAAACTTTTTCATTGTTTCAAATGTTATTCTTGAGATAACAATCAATTTATTTGCTCATTTTCTCTTCAACAGTCTTCCTTCATTTGTTGATGGATTTGTCAGGAACAGGTGAGGCAGCTTAATTCCAATTTTATTATTTATGCACCTTAAATTGAACGAGAAAAAAAATAATATCTGACTGATTATGCACATAATTAGTTATAGACTTC